ACTTCTTCAAAAGGAAAAAGAATAAGAAAGCCCAGTTTGCCTCTTGGGAAAAAAAAACACCTTTGGGACAACCAAGACCGGGAGGATAGAGAATTTCTACCGACTTAAAGGCAGCTTTACTCCGTGACGGTTTATTTATATCCTGGCGACCATCAATTTTGTTGTGAATTTCGTTGTGTGCATAGCGTATATATACGTACAATGACAATAAAGCATTCAATTCATAAAATTCAATTAAATCAAACCCCTGGCAGGGCCAGCTTCTTCAGATAGGTAAATAACGATGCCAAATCCAGTCTCAACATCTAGCTGACTGCAAAACCAAACCTTAACCCTAGAAATCTCCTAATATGGCCTGCTCAGTGCCTGTTTTTTTTGTGTGTTTTTTTGCAGAATCTGCTTCTCTGCACAGATTTTGTGTGTGTGTGTGTGTGTTTTAAAGCAATTGCTAAATGACCCAGGGAGTGAGCTGCTGCTGTTCCGCTGGATTTGCACGAAACATTTCAAGCATTGCTCCGACTTGCAACTCATTAAAGTATCTTAGGAGTATTGTACTCCCCTTGAACAAGTCCTCCCTTGAATTCAATCCGTTGAGATGTGCTGGCAGCGAGGAGGAGGAGGAGGAGGAGGAAAGGGTGGGGGGTTTCCTCGCTAATCCTGGCTGCAGGGGAGGGGGCTGGGGAGCAGCGTCGGCCTCCCGGCCCCCTCCCCAAACCCAGGGAGGGCTGGTCTCATCCATCCATGGGGCTCAGTTTCAGATGCCAGATGTTTGCAATCCCCTAGCAATGCCAGGAATTCGAGCCGGCGGGGGGGGAAGGGGGAAAGGGGAAGGGGAAGGAGTTGTGTGGGCTGCATTCCAGAAATCCTTTGCTGGGTGGGTGGGAGTAGGGGGAGACAGAAGCAGGAAGACCCCAACTCTTTTTGGGGGGGCTGGTCCGGTCCAGGCATCCCTCCTAGAAGTTGCAGGAGGAGCAGCAAAAAAAAAGCGGGAAGCAGCCCCTCCTCCATGGTCTGAAGGAAAGACCCTCCTCAAAATGGAGTTTTCATTCCTGTCTACCCATTTAATCCCCCCCACCCCACAATCAATCCACCCCCCACTTTCCAAGGAGCAATTATGGGCAGGTGGATTTAATAACATTCTTTAGGAGCCGCTTCTTGGTTGTGGAAAGATACACAAGCACACTGCACACACACACACACAGACAACACACACACAGGGGCACTAGCAGATCTGGGATTCAAAACAGAGCTTCTCTTAAAGCAGAGGTCTCCCAACTCGGTCACTTTAAGGCGTGTGGACACCTGTCTTAAAGGGGCCAAGTTTGGGGACCCTGGGCCTTAAAGCAGATAACAGATAACCGATAATCGGAGTTGGAAGGGACCTTGTGGGTCACCTAGTCCAACCCCCCTCTGCCCAAGCGGGAGACCCTACACCATTTCCGACCGAGGGCAGTCCAGTCTCTTCCTGAAAGCCTCCAGGGATGAAGCTCGCACAACTTCCGAGGGCAACTCCTGTTCCATGGGTGGATGGTTCTCCCTGTCAGAAAATTCCTCCTTATTTCCAGGTTGAATCTCTCCTTGGTCAGTTTCTATCCATTATTCCTTGTCTGCCTGCTCTTCTCTGCACTTTTTCTAGAGTCTCAACCTTTTTTTTTTTTTTTTTTGTAATGTGGTGACCAAAACTAGATGCAGAATTCCAGGTGTGGCCCTACTAAGGATTTACAAAGCAGTACTAAGAGTCCACGTGATTTTTTAGAATAGAATTTAGAATAGAATAGAATAAAATAGAATTTAGAATAGAATAGAATAAAATTTAGAATAGAATAGAATTTAGAATAGAATAGAGTAGAATAGAATAGAATTTAGAATAGAATAGAATTTAGAATAGAATTTAGAATAGAATTTAGAATAGAATAGAATTTAGAATAGAATAGAATTTAGAATAGAGTAGAATTTAGAATAGAACAGAATTTAGAAGGGAATAGAATAGAATTTAGAATAGAGTAGAGTAGAATTTAGAATAGAATAGAGTAGAATAGAATAGAATACAATAGAATAGAATTTAGAATAGAATTTAGAATAGAACAGAATTTAGAGTAGAATTTAGAATAGAATAGAATAGAATTTCTTTCCTCCCTCTCTCCTCCCTCTCTCCCTCCCTCTCTCCTTCCTCCTTCCCTCCCTCTTTCCTTCTATTCTTCCTCCCTCCCTCCCTCCCTCCTTCCTTCTCCTCCTACTGACTCTCGTCCTTCCTCCCACAGTCCCGTCCTGCGGCATGAAGTGCCTGAATGGAGGCAGCTGCACCGAGGAGGCCTGCCTGTGCCAGAAGGGATACACCGGGAGCCACTGCGGCCAACGTGAGTGCCAAACCGGGGCCAGCCAGGGTCAGCATCCCACCCACCCCCCATGGGCACCTGTGGCCAGAGGTGCCAAACTCGGGGGGGGGAATCAATGCCCTCACCCCAAATAAGAACCAGCCACATTTCAAGTTTATTTACTGAGTTATTGAATTTCCTCTCTCACCCAGGGGTGGGCTTCAAAAAATTTAGCAACCGGTTCTCTGGGTGGGTGTGGCCATGGTGGGTGTGGCCTAGTCGGCCTCCTCCACCACGGTGGGAGTGGGTGTTTTTGCCCTCACTGGGCTCCAGAGGGTTTTCTCGAGAGTCTGGGAAGGTGAAAATGGCCTCCCCGGTCTCCAGAGGCTCGGTGGAGGGCCGGAAACGGGCCTGTTTTCGCCCTTCCCAAGCCTCTACTCAGGTCTTGCACTTACCTGCAATCCAAAATTGGGCCACCTGGGGCATCCGGGGGGGGGGAGGGGAGGGGAGGGGTGGGCGGGCGTCAGGTTTCCAAGTGATGAAATTCATTTTAAAAGAAAAAGAACAAAGTCCATCTTTAAAAAGGTTTCTTGGATTTAGGGAAGCATCCAATTGGCAAAGTCCACGGTAACTCCAGATCTGACCCAACCCGGAATTGCCCCACGATATTAGAAGTTAGAAACACCCCCCTCCCCCAAAATGTCACGTTCTCCAATAGAAGTAATTCAACACTGCTTGATGTCATAAATCTCCACCTCAAGGGGCCTGAAGAGGGTCAGCTCATTTTCCCACGGGAAGAAGAATCACCTAGCTTAAACAATTTTCCCTATCTCCACTCCTCCCACCCTAGGAATGTGTCAAACCTGAAACCCTTCCCGCCCCCCCCCCATGACTGCCACAGAGAAAATAAGAAAAATAATATATACTAAGACAAACTAAAATGGCTACACTTATGTCAATTTTGGGCTTGACAGTGGGGCCAGCCCGCTGTTGCAACTACCAAATGTAAAATTAACAACCAGTTCGCCCGAACCAGTGTGAACCGGTAGCAGCCCTTTCCCTGATTTCACTCGGTTGTGTACGGAACAATACAACCGAGGGCCCGGCCACTTTTGACGAAAGCTTTGGGTGCGAATTCTGTGATCCCCTGGTGCCCATCTAGGGGAAGCCACAGTGGCATCCCACATAGGAGGGGTGTCGCAGGCCCTAATGTGGCCTAACACACCTAACAGTATTGGCATCAACAGGTGCGATGTTCCTCCTTCTGGATTTGCAGCTAACTCTTCCAATCAATCCATCACAGATCGTCCCCGACGTTGCTTAGTGACCATTCGAAGTTACGACACTGAAAAAAGGGACTCCAGACCCTTTTTCACATTTAATGACCATTCAGCATGCCCGTGATCATACGATCAAACTTCAGGTGCCGGGATGCTGACTCACACTTACGACAGTCGCAGTGTCCCCGTGGGGGTCATGGGATCCCACCTTTTGTGACCTTCGGACTAGCTTAGTCAACAGGGAAGCCGGGTGGTGGCAAGAAAGGGGGCAAAATGGAGGGAAACGGCACCACACGGCTGTCTCGCTTAGTAATGGAAAATTTGGTCGTAAGTCAAGCCAAACCACCTGGAATATTCACACAAACAGAAAGGCCCGAGTATCAGGTGAATAATCAACTGATAATAATTAACTAATAACTAAAATGCCCCCTCGCGATAGATGGATACCGTTTTTCTCTTCTTCACGTCTATCTCCTTCCAAGATCGAAAGGTTTTTTTCAATCATACGTACAGGTAGTCCTCGACTTATGGCCAGAATAGAGCCCAACATTTCTGTTCCTCAGTGAGACTGTCATCAAGAGAATTTTGCCTCATTTTGGGACCTCTCTTGCCACGGTGAAGCACCGCCGTCATTAAATTAGTAGCCATCCTTCAATGAATCCTGCATCCCCCCCTGGTCTTGGCTCATCAGAGTTGGAAGGGACCTTGGAGGTCTTCTAGTCCAGCCCTCTGCATGAGCAGGAGACAATATACCATTCCAGTCAGGTGGCTGTCCACTTCTCAAAAATGCCTCTGGGGCGGCATTTTTGCTCCCCTAAGGCTCCTCTGAAGCTCAGGAAAGCAAAAAAATGGAGAGGGTACAGCTGAGCCGTTTTTTTGGCTTCCTGGGCCTCAGCTAGGGGAATCCCGGCACAGCTGATCTATGTACAACTGATTTTGGGGAGGGGGAAAAAGAAAGAAAAGAAAGAAATGCCTTAGTCAAGTGGTGGCTAACCTTTTTGGGCTCCTGTGCCAAAAATTGTGTGCGCGCTCGCATGCTCGGACTCATGTGACAGCGCCCAGAAGGCAATGTACGCCCTCCCCATGCCCCCTACGCGTGCATGCACAATCCTCACCCCCCCCCACGCCCCCTTATCTGCACTGTCCCTTACAGCTGATTTTAGGCCAGTTTAAGGCCTTTTTCGGCTTCCCAGATGCTTGAGGAAGGCTTCTGCAGGCTTCTGCAGGCCGAAAACTAGGCCCGTTTCATCACTTCTGGTATTTTAAAAAAAAACAGGAAGTGACGAAACGGGGCTAGTTTTTGGCCTGCAAAGCCTGCAGAAGCCTTCCCGAAGCCTTTGGGAGGCTGAAAAATATCTCAAACCCACCGAAAATCAGGTGTGCGGCGTGCGCACACGCAGTGAGGTAAGTTTGCCTACAGCTTGCGTGCCGGCACAAATGGCTCTGTGTGCCACCTGTGGCACGTGTGCCATAGGTTTACCATCATGGCCTTAGGCAGGAGGGCAGGGTGAAGTGAGCATCAGGCGGGAGGGCAACCAGGTTGGGGGCGTGGCCAGCCAGAAGTTACTACCAGTTCGGCAACCCACGCCAAATTCTTGCTACTGGTTCGTCTGATCCGGTGTGAACCGGCTGAATGCCACCACTGTGACTGCCTCTTAGGTTGATCCTTGCCATGACTGTAACAAGTGAGACTTCTGAAATCCCACCCCCTACACGCATTCCAAAGAGGCACTCCAAAGCCCATCTTCCTGGCAATCCTAGCATTGGTCCAAACTCATCTCCTGATTTCTGTCTCTCTTTTTCCCACCCAGCCATCTGCGAAGGAGGGTGCCAAAACGGGGGCCGATGCATCGGGCCCAACCGCTGTGCCTGCGTATATGGATTCACCGGACCCCAGTGTGAGAGAGGTAGGCTGGCCGATCCCATTCGAGCGCAATGGAGCCACGGTGGCGCAGTGGTTAGAATGCAGTATTGCAGGCTGCTTCTGTTAACTGCTGGCTGCCAGCAGTTCGGCAGTTCGATTCTCACTGGCTCCAGGCTGACTCAGCCTTCCATCCTTCTGAGGTCGGTAAAATGAAGACCCAGCTTGTTGGGGACAAGAGGCTGACTCTGTAAACTGCTTTGAGAGGGCTGTAAAGCACTAGGAAGCAGTATGTAAGTCGAAGGAAGGAAGGGAGAAGGAAGGAAGGGAGAAGGAAGGAAGGAAGGAGACAGAATGGGAGGGAGGGAGGGAGAGAGGAAGGAAGGGAGGGAGGGAGGGAGGAAGGAAGGAAGGAAGGAAGGGGGAGGAAGTTGGCCACATTTGAGAAAGTAAATTAAACACTGGTTCTGTTTTAAGCTGGGGAATTCTGGGACTTAAAGTCCATATGCCTTCAAGTTGGCCAAGTTTGAGAAAGTGAGTTAAACACTGGTTCTGATTTAAGCTGGGGAATTCTGGGAGTTAAAGTCCACAAGTTGGCCAACTTGGAGAAATTGAATTTTCTCAGCAAGAGAATGCAAGAATTTTATTTTGTAGTTTCTATTATTATTATTATTTGCTTATTAGTAGTAGTATAATCCTTTATTGGCCAAGTGTGATTGGACACACAAGGAATTTGTCTTGGTGCAAATGCTCTCAGTGTACATAAAAGAAAAGATGCATTCGCCAAGAATCAAGAATCATAAAGTGCAACACTTAATGATAGTCATAGGGTACAACAAGCAATTAAATCATACTAGGAAACAGTCAATATGAATCGTAAGGATGCAAGCAGCAAAGTTACAGTCATACAGTCCCAAGTGGGAGGGGATGGGTGATAAGGAGTGATGAGAAGATTAATAGTGATAGTAATGCAGAATTAGTAAATAGTTGGACAGTGTTGAGGGAATTATTTGTTGAGCAGAGTGATGGCTTTCGGGAGAAAACTCCCCTTGTGTCTAGTTGTTCTGGTGTGCAGGGCTCTATAGCATCGTTTTGAGGGTAGCAGTTGGAACAGTTTATATCCAGGATGTGAGGGGTCTGTAGATATTTTCACAGCCCTCTTTTTGACTCATGCAGGATACAGGTCCTCGACTGGAGGCAGGTGGGTAGTAATTGTTTTTTCTGCAGTCATAATTATCCGTTGAAGTCTGTGTCTGTCCTGTTGGGTTGCAGAACCAAACCAGACAGTCATAGAGGTGCAGATGACAGACTCCATCCTTCCTCTGTAGAACCGGATCAGCAGCTCCTTTTGGGCAGTTTGAGCTTTCTGAGTTGGCGCAGAAACAACATTCTTTGTTGGGCTTTTTTGATGACGTTTTTGATGTTAGGTGTCCATTTTAGGTCATGTGATATAGTAGAACCTAGAAATTTGAAGGTCTCCACTGCTGGTGCTGTGTTGTCTAGTATTGTCAGAGGTGGTAGTGCGGGAGGGTTTCTTCTAAAGTCTACCACCATTTCTACGGTTTTGAGTTTGTTCAGCTCCAGATTGTTCCGGTTACACCACGAGGCAAGTTGTACAACCTCCTGTCTGTTTGCGGATCCATTGTTGTCTCGAATGAAACCAATCATTGTTGTGTCATCTGCAAACTTCAGTATTTTAACAGATGGATCGTTTGAGATGCAGTCATTGGTATATAGGGAGAAGTGGAGAAAGTACACAGCCTTGGGGGGGCCCTGTGCAAATTGTATAGGTGTCAGATGCCCCTGTTGGAGTCTGACTCCGAGGGAGAGATGGAACAACTGACAAAGAGTGGGAGTGTGGCTCCGATGGTTGTGGAGGAAACTGGGGAAAGACACAGGCTGGATGGGCAGTCAGAGGAAGACCCAGGCCCATCCCCTCTTCATCCTAGGGCACGCAGGGAGGAGTGAATAAGGGAGAAATGCGAGTGGCACGGTCTATGGGGGAGGAAGGGGCCCTGATCTCCTTTATGGGCTGCAGCTGGGCGGACTGGTTAAAAGGACAAACTGCTCATGGCAAAGTTGCTGGAAGCAATGCGTGCATTCTTATCGGAGCTTATCTGTGTTTTGGCTTCCTCCCAACTGTGGTTGCTGCAATATCTGGTAGAAGTCTGCAATTAATCATCCTTGCCTGCCGTAGTAATTCCTTCGGTGTGGTGTGTTGGTTTTTTTTATTTTGAATTAACTTTGGGTGCGGACTGCATTTCCTCCCTCCGTAAACTGTTTTCTTTAAGAGTTTGATATCCTGCTGAGGATAATTGGACATTGGGGCCAAGTTGGAGACATTAAAGGGACTTTCTTCTATTTCTGTGACTTGGTTATTGTTGTGTCAAGCCCCGGGTCATCACACCTGGGCTGTAGATCCATAGATATTTTTGTCAAGAAACACTGAGATTTCTGATTCCAGGTTACAAACCTGGGCAAAGGGTTTAAGGTTTTGAATGCAGAACGTTCAGCGTAGCCGGGGAGTGGCAGAAGAAATCCAGCTAGATGCTGTGAGCCGTCTGCAGTCTGGGTTGAACTAAGATAACCAAAATCAGCTCTTGTATACCTACCCTGTTTTCCCGAAAATACGACCTACCCTGAAAATAAGTCCTAGCCTGGTTTTTTTGCACGTGCACCCAATATAAGCCCTAATTAAGATCCCACCCACTCCAGAGTGGATGGGTAGAAATTAAGCTACAGTGAGGATGGGGGTGGGTGGCGGGTGGAGCTGCCCTATTACTTTCCTTTGGACAATGGTAGCTAGGTCTCGCATACCCCAACACCTGCCTTTCCAGCCCATTTCTTCTGCCACCAGTAAGGCTTTCCTGAAGGCCTTTGGAGCTGAGAACAAAGCTCTGGATCAATCCAGAACTCTGTTATGGGATACAGAAACCTTCAGGAAAGTCTTGCTGGCCACAGAAGAAGAGGTTCCTTCAGCGAAAAGGAGGCTGGGGGAACGACGCATGCAAGTGACGTTAGTCAGTGGGTGGCATCCCCCGAAAATAAGACCCGGTGTCTTTTTTGGTGGCGAAAAAAAAAGTATAAGACAGGGTCTTATTTTCAGGAAAACACGGGTATAGATATTCACACCATTTACCTGCAGGATAGAAGCAAGGAGCTTTATAGAAATAGCCCCCCTTCCAGACAGTCCTCATTTTCAGACATCGAGAGAGGAAAAAAAGAAAACCTTAGATGAAATGCCAACGAAACAAAAATAGAAGCCTGAATCCAATCCATGTGTACTTTGAATGAACCGTGTGTAGAATTGCTCGGCGGGGCGTCCGCTCTCCTTGCTTGCTTTCCAGCAAGCCTTAAGCCCCTCATTAAAAGAAAGAGAGAATCAAGATGATGTGAGGTTCTACTACCGCTTTGCAAATCCTTAGGAAGGGCACAGCTAGAATAGCGCATCCAGTTCCTGTCACCGCGATGCACAAAAAGACGCGGAGATTCCGGAAAGAGTGCAGAGAAGAGTAACACAGGAGATTAGGGGACTGAGGCCAAAAGATATGAAGAACGGTTGCAGGATCTGTGTATGTTTAGTCTAGAAAAACAGAAGGACTAGCGGGGCCATGATAGCAGTCTTCCAATATTTGAGGAGCTGCCGCAAACAATTAACAGATTAACAGAGTTGGAAGGGAACTTGTAGGTCATCTAGTCCAACCCCCCCAACCAAGCAGGAGACCCTACACCATTTCTGACAAAGGGCAGTCCAGTCTCTTCTTGAAAGCTTCCAGGGATGAAGGTCTCACAACTTCCGAAGGCATCGGTTGATTGTTCTCACTGTCAGAAAGTATTTCCAGGTTGAATCTCTCATCCTTGTTCTGTTTCCACCCGTTATTCCTTGTCTGGCCTTCAAAGGTGCCTTGGAAAATAGCTTGACCCCTTTCCTCCTCTCTGTGGCAGCCCCTCCTCAAATATCGGAAGGCTGCTCTCCTGTCTCCCCCCACCCCCGGTCCTTCTCTTCCCTGGACTAGCCATGCTCAAGAAGGGGGACCTCCACCTTAAAGCAAGAGAGATAAAATCCATTCAAGCTACCGTGATTTGACTGTGGTCTTTGGAACTCCCCGAGACATGCCTCGAACGCTGCCGAAAATCAGGCCTACGAATGATCGATTGAAACGGTGCACAAAATGGCGGTTTTTTTGGGGGGGGGTGGTATTTGGAAGGAGGGGATCTGGTGCTTGTAAAGGCCTCGGTTTTTTGTGGGTTTTTTTTTTGGTGGGAAGGTGGGAAAGTATTTCCGGTGTCTGAGATTAAGCGTGCGTCCCAGCTGGGCTGCCTGTGCCAAAGGGCCCTGGCGGTGCAGAGAAAGAGGGATCGAGTTTCAAAGCCTCTTGAGCTTTTCCCAGGCAGCTTCAACGCACCCCCCCCCCCCCCCCCCCCCCACCCCGCCCCCCCTCCCCACCCCCCCTGGCCCCCCCCCGCCCCGCCTCCTCCCCCCCCCCCCCCCCCCCCACACACACATACCCCACCCCTTTAACAGTCGGGGTCTCCTTGCAGCCTTCCAGATGTTTTGGATTAGAGTTCTCATCAAACCCAGCTGGTACGGCCTGGAATTGGGAGGCGGCGGGCTTTGGTAGGCTCAAACATCTGCAGGGCATCAGGTTGAGGAAGGCAGCTGGGTTGGGCGAGGGAAGAAGCCAAGCGAGGCGTCTCCTATTTCTTCCCCCCACCCCCCTCGTGCAGAATTCACAGAGTTGGGAGGGACCGTAGAGGTCTTCTAGTCCAACCCCCTGCGGAAGCACATAGGTAATGGCCAAGGATACGGCGCACCGATCTTGGCTGAAGACTCCGACCTTCCACTGTTCTATTCAAAGTAAAAACGTTTCCCCCCCCCCCTCAGATTCTGAGCTGTGCTATTTTAGAGTAGAGATTTTTTCCTAACACACAGTCAACTATGCACTTTGATATCACCCACCTGCACGCTTAGAAACCTACCTGTATTAGCCAATTGCCGCATTGTTACTAGGCTGTTATCCCTGGAGTAAACCAATCGTTGGGCTT